TCAGTGCCCCCGTGTCCGGTCCCCATCCTCATCGCCATCCCATTGCTCATCCTCATCCTCAACTCTATCCCCATCCCCATTTGAATCCCAATCCCTCTCCCCAACCCCATCCCTGTCCCCAACCCCCTCCCTGTCATCATCCCCAACCCATTCCCTATCCCCATCCCTGTCATAATCCTCATTTCCATCCCCATCCCCATGACCCATCCCCATTCCCATCCCTATCCCCATCCCCATCCAGCTCCACATCCACATGCTCATCCTCATCCCCAATCCCATCCTCATCCCCTTTCCCATCCCCATCCTTGTTTTGTCCCCCCGGAGAAACTGAGGCCACAGTGGCCACACACTCCCTCCCCCAAAATGGACAGCACCGGTTCTGGAGGTGGGAATTATTTACAGACTCGTTTCCTGGGGCTCCTGCAGCCCTGTCCCCATCCCGGGGTCCCGTCACCTGTAGAGGCGGGTGCCAGCGCGGGCCTCGAGGCGCTGCCAGAGGCGGTAGCTCTCGGGCATCATGCGGGCGTAGTGCTGCTGCGGGTACACGCTGCGGATGATGCGGCTCTGCCCGTGCGAGCTGCCCCGCGAGTGGGGCAGGAGGAACTGCAGGACAGACGGGCTCTGTGCCAGGGGACAGCCCCACAGGCTCCACAAAACGGGGTGGGCCCAGGCGTCCGGGCTACCTGCTCCAGCAGGAGGGTGGCCCTGCCCCGCTCAGCCAGGTGGTAGGCGGCGAAGGAGCCCTGGATGCCGGCGCCGATGACGATGGCATCGTAGCAGGGCTCGTCCACCAGCGCCATGATGTGCCCTTGTCCTTGTCCCCCTGCCCAGGGGAGGGACAGGGCAGAGTCCAGCCGGGGCTGAAGCACCTCCCAGCTCTGCACGGGGTTTCTGGCTTGGCTCCATTCCCGGACGGGTCTCCGTGTGTGGATAGGATCCAGCGCGGATTCGGCCCAGCAGCCACCAGGGGCACCGTGTGGAGAGGTGGGAGCCAGAGGGTGGGATAAATGTGGTGGAAAATCATTTCCAATAAATTCCACTTTCCCTCCACACCACTCCGGCAGGACGAGGGCTGTTTGCTGCCCGTGTGTAGATTGGAGCCGGGCTGCTTCCTCCAAGGGAAACATTTTTTTCCTCCCCTGCAATTTATTATGTCCATAAACTATTTTGTTGCCACTTTTTTTTTTTTTCTTCTGGGAGATAGCCATGATTTAGGGTCCCATGTAGCTCTGCAGAGCCTGGCGCTCCGCAGCGCCCATGGCCCCAGGGTAAGGATGGCTTCCTTAGGCCAGCACGTTATCAGTGGGGGACACAGTGGGGCAATTCCTCCCAATTTGAGGAAAACCAAGGCAGTGGCAGGGCAAACATTGCAGCCGCTTGCACAGGCTCCCCGGTGCTCCAGGTGGGACCCAGCCCTCAGCACCTCCAGCACTTACCTCTCCCCCATGCCGCTCAACAGCTAATTAGAGGAATTAATTTCCTCTGACTCTCATGGTGTGAAAGACATTATTTACCAGTTAATCGTTGTTATTACAAAATGTTAAGCATCATTATTTATTTTGCCATGTTGCTTGCTGATGTCCAGTGATTTATTAGGTGTCAGGGCATCTGCATCCTGCCCAGAGGAGAGGGAAGGTCCGTCTGGTGCTGGCCCACAGGGATCACTGGCCCTGTTTCTGGGAGGCCCTGGGCTGCCAGCACGTGC